TGATGTTCGTAACGACCTGTTCATCCATATCATTCCAATCCTTGTTTGTCATCCCCGCTGGTCTCTCCCCTAAAGTCTTGAGTATCTTTTTGCGTGTAAGAAAATCATTTACCTGCATCTTCCAAAAACTGAAATTCTTCCCAGTGAACTTCAGAACCCCTTCATAATAATGGTGTGCATGATATTTGTCTCCCATGATACTGCAATCCTACAACTTTGATACCACTTGTTGGGAAATTAGCTCACACTATCCAACACAACCAAAAATATTCAAATAGGAAGAAAAGCAGCAAACAGATGGACAAAAATCCCAACACTAAGGGAGAAGGTTCTTCACGTATAAGATGGACAATACCAAGACTCTAAGTGACAACATTGATGACTTCAAGAAATTGGCATCAGAATTCAAGAATTTGGGGGAGAAAATCAGTGATGAGAATGAAGCATTCATCCTATTCAATTCCTTGCCAGAAGCCTACAGAGAAGTCAAAGTTGCTCTCAAATATGGGAGAGAATCGATTACTACAGACGCTGTAATATCAGCTATACAGACGAAAGAATTGGAAATATTGGAATCAAAAAGGGAAAACAACACTACTAAAGGACATTTTGTAAAAAGGAAATTAAAGAATAACTGGAAGGATGGAAAACCCCAACAAGAAGATAAAGAAAAATCCAAAATTAGGTGCAATTATTGTCAAAATAAGACACTTAAAAGAAAGATTGTTTTTCCTTGAGAAGAAACAAAATTGGAAAAATAAGAAGCACAAGCAAGCAGAAGCCTCAGTAGGTGAAACAACTTATACATATTCTGACGTTCTTGCTGCTACAGATCATAGTGCAAACACAGGAAGTTCACGTGAAAACCAAGATTTGGTTTTAGACTCCATATGGTCTTATCACATGACACCATCTCGAAAATGGTTTCAAACCTATAAAGAATGGAACAGTAAGTCAGTGTACATGGGAAACAACAACATTTGTAATGTATTTGGTATTGGGTCAACCTCTTTGAAGATGAAAGATGGGACAACAAAGTTGCTCCAAAATGTCAGATATTTACACCTAACCTGAAACAGAATCTAATCTCCATTGGGATGCTAGATGCAATTGCCTATAATTATAGTGGCCAAGACGGAATCCTCAAAGTAAGAAATGACTCAAAGGTAGTTCTTGTGAGTGAAAAGTCCAATGGACTATATGTTGGGAAAGATTGTATCATCAGGGGCAGCCTTAATTTCTACATAAGAAAACTTGTCAAAAGGAGACCTATGGCACAAAATAGCTGTCCTATATCATTACAAGAGCAAATATACAAAGAAGTGAACTTCTGCGAACAGTGTATTTTTGGTAAAGTTAAAAAACAAAGCTTCCAAAAATCTGAACATTCAACCAAAAGAATGCTTGACTATGTCCACTCTAACCTTTGGGGACCAGTCCAGACACCTTCCTTAAGGTGCTCAAGGTACTTCCAACCTTCATTGATGATTTTTCTAGGAAGTCTTGGATATATTTTCTAAAGACCAAGAATCAAACACTTGAAAAGTTTGAGGAATTGAAGAAAATGATAGAGAATCAACCCTCAAGATCAATTAGATATCTAAAGAATCATGATGGTCTAGAATTTTGTGGAGAAGAAATTCAACTCTTTCTACAAAGAAATTGGAGTCATGCGTCACAAAATTGTGAGGTATAATCCTCAAAGAGAATGGGTTTGTAGAGAGACTAAATCGCACTATAATGGAAAGGGTAATGTGTCTTCTATCTGATGCCCGTCTTCCTAAAAAATTTTGGGCTGAGGCAGCTTCTTATGCAGTTTATACAATCAATAGATGTCCTCATACTGCAAACAATTTTCTAAAACCAGAAGAAAAGTGGACCAAACACCCTCCAAAACTTGAAAAACTAAAGGTATTTGGCTGTGTTAGTTATGTCCATATAAACCAAGGGAAGTTGAAACCTCGAGTAGTGAAATGTATGTTTGTGGGATTCACAGAAGGTGTTAAAGGGTATAGGCTATGGCAACCCGTTGAGAGGAGATGTATAAATAGTAGAGATGTGTTTCAAGAGGGAGAGATGTCGTGTTTCAAGAAGGAGAGATGTTTATGTCCCAACAGACTCCAAATCAAAATAGTACTAATCAGAATATTACTCAAGACAGCACAACAATTAAGGTGGAGCTACCCATCTTGACCCCAAACCAGAATGTAAAAGAGATTAATGCTCTAGAGACAGAGGAATAAGTGTCGGAGGATCATGGAGAAACTCTCCAAGTACTTGAAGATCTGTCTGACTATTCCCTTGCTTGAGATAGACAGAGGAGACAAATTGTTCCACATAGGAGGTTCAGTGATGCAAATACCATAGCTACTACCTTGAGCACTTTTGGAATGATGTTGAACCATCATGTTTTGAGGAAGTAGTTGTTGGACCATATGCAAAAGAATGGATAAATTTCATGAATGAAGAAATGACATCCTTAGAAGTAAACAGTACCTGGACAATAGTATCACTACCAAAAGGGGAAAAATACTATATATTCTAAATGGATATACAAATTTAAAGAGGAGATACCAGGAGTTCAGGAACCAAGGTATAAAGCAAAATTTGTTGCAAAGGGATTCTCTCAAAGAGAGGGGGTTGACTACACAGAGGTATCTTCTCCAGTTGTAAAACATACCTCCATCAGGGTGCTATTAACCTTGGTGGCACAAATAAATTTAGAGTTTGATCAGCTTGATGTAAAAACTGCATTCCTTCATGGATATTTAAAAGAAACAATTTTTTAAAAAACAACCTGTAGATTACTGTAAAAAAGGTAAAGAAGAATATGTATGTCTCCTAAACAAATCCTTATATGGACTAAAGCAGTCCCTTAAGTGCTGGTATCAAAGGTTTGATGAGTTCGTAAAAAAAATGGATTTAAACGAAGTTCCTTCAATAGCTGCTTTTACTATATGTAGATGATATGTTGCTAGCTGGGAAAAGAAGAGAAGACTTTGTTCAAGTAAAATAGTGCTTAAAAAATGAGTTTGATATGAAGGATTTGAGTGAGGCTAGAAGAATTTTAGGGATGGGCACCTCAAGAAATAAAACAAATGGGGAGCTATTCGTAAGTCAGTCGTCCTATTGCAGCAGAATAATATCGAAATTCAAGATGAAATAAGCTAAAGCAGTCAAAGTTCTTCTTGCTCGACACTTTAAACTGTCTGCAGTAAATTCTCCCAAAATACCCCTTACTCTAGTGCAGTGGGTAGTGGTATATACCTAATGATATGTGCAAGGCCTGATATAACATATACAACTAGTATTATTAGTCAATATATGTCTAATCTGGATAAACGTCATTGGGAGACTGTAAAATGGGTACTAAGGTACCAAAAAGGATCGTGCAATACAAGGTTGATGTACAAGAAAGGTCAGAATAGTCCGATAAATCTTTATGGATATGTAGATGCTGATTATGCCGGAGATCTAGATCAAAAAAGATCCTTATCTGGATTTCTATTCCTAATTGGAGAAAGTATTATTAGTTGGAAATCAAATCTACAACCAGTTGTAGCCCTCTCTACCACAGAAGCGGAGTTTATTGCATTATTAGAAGCAGTAAAAGAAGCTTTATGACTAAAAGGGCTACTTAAAGATTTTGGATATGTTCAACAACAAGTGAAAATATATGTGACAATCAAACCAACAATTTCACTTTATTAGAGAGCAAATAGAGAAAGGTCTCATTGAGGTGGAGAATACATACTTCAGATAATGCTGCTGGCATGTTGACAAAGCCTCTAGTTTAAGCAAAATTTGACAACTGCTTTGAAGCTAGCGGGTATCTACTCATCTAAAGCCAAAATAAGAGAAATTAAGGGCAGGGTTTTCACTTCCATAACGTTTCAAAGGTAGAGATTTATAGGTTTTTGCTGTGGTTGAAACAGCTTGTAAGTTGGGTAAAACGGTGTACTCAACACCCTTAAGGCACTGCATTAATAAAGCCTCTGTAAAGCTGTAGAATTCAATTACTTTGTAACTCATGATTTGAAATAGTGAAATAGTTTTGGCATCATAGAGGACGTAGGTCTATTATTGACCGAACCACTTAAATCTGCGTGTTTCCTCTCTCTTCCCTACACTCTGTCTCATTTCCGTTTTATCGCAAGGCTGCAACTAGCTCCATAGGTCTAACAATAATAACAATTATTATTATTATTATTGCATAAACAGATTTAACATGGGTTATAATAAGGCGAATGGTCAAAGTTATGATTGATGTCAACTAAAGTAGAATTGATTAGATTAATCTCAACGCCAACTATTAAAAACGATCGGTGGAGGAAAATATTAGTACAAAAAGAATAGAGATATGGTTGGCACGTAATAGTTCGTATGATATGACTGAAAGGGAGGAAGAATATCAAAGACTACATAACACACTAGTAACAAGAGAAAAGATAGAAAAAAAAAACGAGAGAGGTAAATAGAGACAAGGATATGTATGAGAAAAGAACACAATATTACTATTAATTCAAGGACAATATTTATTAACCTATATATAATTGAACTAGTTTTTTAGTACAACAACATGTAGCTTCAAGTCAAACACGTTTAACTTTGAAGTTCTTATGATTGAGCCACCGATAAAGAAGCTGCATCTTGTTGGCATAAATAGTGACTATCCATTTTTTTAAGCCTTTATTAACCATTCTTCTATGATCTTAGGATCTCTCTTATTCGGATGTGGTACGGTTCATTCATATACCTCTCATCTCTAGTTGGGCGTCACAGTTAGAATATATTTTTATTGTTAAAAAATATTTTGTTATTTATTATTATTGTTGTTGTAAATGTTAACATTATACATGTCACTATTTGTGAAGTTATTACTCATTAGGTTATTATTTATTATTATTATTTTGGCTATAATAAGTTTGAACAGCATAGTTGAGTCTTTGCCACTATTTTTGGACTAAACACTGTTATATGACATTCTCGATGGGCCCAGGCCCACATTTTTCCTCATGATCAGCGTCCTGCGGTTTCATTTCGTTTCAACTCCGGCGCCCATTTCTTCTCAGAAGTCTCCGTCGCTGTCCCTCAATCCGCCACGTCTACCGCCACCTTCACTCAAGAGGATTTCGATTTCGAATGCCTTGAATTTCAATTCCCTCGAAGCTCGATCACTCAGATACGCCATCTCTTCCATGGCCGGCTCCGATTTCAGGTTCGATCATCGTTTTCTTTGGCCCTCCCCTTTTCGTTATCCGTTTGACTGCCTTTATTTTAATTTGATTGCATGGTGATGTTGATGTGCAGCTATGTGAACCCAGCAGTTGCTGAAATTATTGTAGTGCGGCATGGTGAAACGGCTTGGAATGCCGATGGAAGAATTCAGGTTCTACCATCATAAGCAAACCTTTCAAATTTCGTTCTGATGAATTTACTTAATCAATTACATATGATATGATCAAGTTGGGATGGTGATGTTTGAAACTTCTGTCATGAAGAATGTTGTCACCAATTTTGGAAATTTTCATTTTAGCGTAATGACTTTTAGCATGTACTGTTGTGCACCTCTAGTCTTCCATGCTTCTTGAAGTTAGTGTACAATTGAAAGAAATTTGGATTCTGTTTTTCAAGCCTGGTATGGCTGCTTTTTCAATGCAATGCAATAGGCTGGTAGGGTACCACAAGAATGAGCCTCGGGAGTCAAAATGGGAGATGCATGAGGGAAGGGGGTAGGGATGTCTCAGATGAGTTCAGTATAAGAGATTAAGAAATTTCTCCAACACTCAGCTGTTGTATTCTTTTCCTATGAATGAAATTTAGTGGCCACATCCTGTCAAGATGTTACCGGATCAGCTTGTCAATGAGGAAAGGAAGCATCAAAGAAGATGGGGACAGAAATAAAAGCACAAGGGAGAAGTTGGGGGAGTTCAATTTACAATCACAGAGGATTTTTTGCTGGTGGGTGACCAGTTGTTAAATTCCATGAAAATGGTCATGAAAGTACTTATGTAGAAGATGGAAAAAATGTTTTAAACTAGGAATAACAGGGGCATGATGATCCAAGGAGACATGGAAAAGAGAGGGTGCCGATTGAAGGATAACTAGAAACAATCTTACGTGAGACACAAATGGAGGATCCTGGAGCACATTAGCTAAAAAGTAAGAACCAAGTAAGAATTATTGAGATCTCGACATCCAAAGGGATTGACCCAAATGCGTGGATCTTTTAGGAGTATTTCTTGATCAATAGATTTTCTAAAGTAGAAAAACAACCCAAATGCTATGTTTTGGCATCAATGTGAGGAAGCATGATGACCCTTTAGCAGTTGGATTGACTTGAAGAGGTAGTTAAGTTACGGATTTGGACCAACATAGGAAAGTAGCATTTGTGAGAAGTTCCTTTCCCTACAAGAGTCTACCTTAAATTTTGCAGGAAATTCAAAACACTGCTGCACCACACTCCACATTTAATGCCACCTAAGCATATTTTTTTATTATAAAATGAATTAAAGACTAATAAATATGCCACATAGGGTGATATAATTGTCATGTCATATTTCTATTGAAGTGGCTAACAGAAATTTGTTCTTTGGGACCATTTAGAACCATTTTCTAAAAGTTAGGGACTAGATTAGGACCAAATGAAATCTTAATACAACCCCAAGGACCAGAATTGTAATCTACCGAAATTTTTAGTGTGATCAAATTAGTTAAGGAACCAAAATAGTAGATTAACTCTCTTTTAAGGAACTTATGTTCATCTTGTATAATCTTTTTTCAACTTTATTAGTGAATCAGATTAACGCAATATAACTTCTGTCAATCTTGAATGTATAGTGTTCTTCTAATCATTGTCACACTTCAACATTGTGAAACTCTTCTGAATGGATGTTCTGAACAGGGACACCTGGACGTTGAACTAAATGATGCTGGGCGACAGCAAGCAGTTGCAGTGAGTCGAAACCCATATTTCATGTGTTAATGTCAACATGTAATGTAGAACACAAGAAATTCTTTTGTAACTACGGCATATCCATGATTCTTCAGGATTGGAAAGCTTTGATTCATTAGTCTTTTGTTGGGAGGGGGCTTGCCCCTATTCTTTTGTTCTTGTGTTAATATATGTTTTGCCTCTTATCCAAAAAAAAAAAAATGTTAACATGTAATGTAAAAGCAGTGTAACTCAAAAAGAAGGTAGATTTAAACTCGTCATTCTTATTTTGAAGGTTGCTAATCGGCTGGCCAAGGAGCCTAAAATCTCTGCTGTATACTCTTCTGACTTAAAAAGAGCTCTTGAAACTGCACAGATAATTGCAACTACATGTGGTAATCTGGAGGTATGACTTTCTGTCGAGCCATTTGTTAAGTCACCACTACATTAAAAAACTTATGCTTATGGATCAAGATATGTAATCTTTTTAATGTATTTTTAACCCTCCCCTTCTTATGGGTTTAAAAGTTAGCATGAGACCTAATAAGTGGACTAACAATATTAATTTGAGAGGAAATGTCATTACGAAGGTTCAAACGCAAGATCTTAGTGCTCTAATATCATATCAAATTACCATTGCTTTTACCTTATAGGTTCGATATATTTATCTTGTTTGTTAATGCATTCTTAACACAGCTTCACTTCAAGGATTTGGTCTCACCATGACAACTTAATCAAATTAATATTTAAGTTGTTGGTTGTTATGGGTAAATAAGAGAATTGTTAGTCATAAAATATATACTGCTCTAAATATTTTCTAAATGAAGGTCACTTGGTTACTTTCTTTGATTTTAATGATTATCTATGATACAACCAGACACAGGAAGAGAAGCTAAATGTGAAATACTAGCATAGTTCAAACGAACGACTAAACAATAATCAACTGATAGCATCTCCCATATGTATTGGTTTTGGCTGCATAAATGTGACTTTCCTGCATTATCTTTTCATAGGATGACCCAAATATTCCTTTTGGTTTAGTCTATAGTCTCCTTTTCAACTTACCATTGTGAACTCCATTATGGAGTCTATACATCTATTTTCACGTAAGTTTGCTTACTTTGTTTCTGATAGGACTGTTATGGGTATCAATAGTTAGCGAGTTGGTTAAGAGTTTATTGGAAGTCTTATGGACCAGTAGTTAACAGGGAAATGAGCAGTGAGAAGGATTACTGGAAGTTTTAAATTGAGCTTGGCTCAAGAGAGACTTTTATGCTCTCCTAATTACTTGAGAGCTATTTTTGTTTTTGTTGTTATTTTCGCTCTTCTCCAACAATTATAAAGTTTGCAACATGATTTTATTACTAGCTTGAAGCATGTTAAGGTAATTTTTTCATGCATTACATTCCATCTATTTTGTAACATTTTTCCCTTTGTTTTGCCGTTGATTATGATCTTCCCTAACTTACCTAGCAAGTTTGCTAGCTGATGTTTAACTCGTTGGAATTTTAAGTCAATTGCGTTTATTTCCCTTCTAGTTTGATTGTATTGTTATACAAGTTCCCTTTTCTTTGATATTTTAGGGGAAAGAAACTTTACCAAAATCAACTATTCAAAACTATCCGAATAAAACTGACATGGTTTAGTTTTATTGGATTGTTGTATTTGTTTAAAATGATTCAATTCGTTCCTTTCTTAAGGGAAAAAAAAAACTCTTTTATAATTTCTTCAGAATACTTTATTTATTTATTTTTTTATACATCTATTGAATGTGGAAATAGGCTGCTTCTCTCCCCCATTATCTCTCGCATTTTGCGATTTCATCCATTGGTTTACTAGTTCTTCCCTTCCACAAACACTCCCTGTTGGTTTTGCTATTTCCTCCTAAAATGTTCGGTTGGAAAGGATATCTTTGTCATTGATTTTGCCTCAAAATCTATTGGTTGAGAATTTCTTCTTCAGGAACAAGGTAGATGAAATTAGAAGAGCGATTCTTGGGTTTGATAGGAGTAAGGTCCTAACTTTGGTCACTGGAAGTTTTCAAGAGCAATTTTGGGCATTTCTAGGATTGAGTCCTAAAAGCAGAATGATACCTTTTTTTTTTTTTTGATAAGAAACAAACTGATTGTATTCAAAATCAAAGAGAGCCCAAAACAAGGCAAAGACATCCTAGAGGCAAAGTATCACTGAATGATGCTTTAACATCAAATCAACCAAATGATTGGGTTTAATTTAGCCGGTCTTGGATTAACACAGGCTTCGTTCTCAAGTGAACGGTTGGGTTTGATTTAAGCTTAAAGAGAGATGTAACAGACCTGGATTGACACATGCTTTAAACTCAACCAAGCAGTTGGGTTCGATTAAATTGTAAAGAGTGGTGCAACAGAATTGGATCAAAATAGACCATGACCTCAATGAAACAATTAGGTCCAACTTAACCATAATGAGAGATGCGATGGACTTAGATTGACACAAGCAGCTTCGACCTCAAACTAATGGTTGAGTTCAATTTAGTTGTAAATAGAGTTATGACGAACATGGATTGACAGAGATTTCGACCTCAACCAAACAGTTAATATTCGGTTTGCGGGTTTTAGAAAAGAAAATCAATTCAACCAAAACCAAACTAAACCAATTATACATATATATATTTAATCTCTTTTTTTCTCTGGTTAAATGAGTATTTATTTTTCATTGATTATCCGTTTAATGTGTTTTGCTTCTCTCAATCTCGTTAAATGAGCCGTCATTTTATGGATTGTGTGTGTAACGCATTTCTTTATTGATTTTCTTTATTGCAACTCCCTCTTAGATGCGTAGGCAGCACATGCACACCATTTTGCGTTTCTTTGTTCCTTTTTTCTTCTCTTACTTTTCAACCAATTGTCAATAGTGGCACCCACTTGTTAGCAGAAATGGTTGGTGATTTCTGATAACTCATGTCCTGAAATCGGTGAAATAGCTTTAGACAATCTTGGGTTTGAGTCTTCTTTTTAGCCAAGTATAATTTCATTGGAATAAGGAAAATTTTGCTCATATTTTATTATTATTGTTGGAAATTTACTTAGAGGTCACTTTTAGGTTATTAAAGATCCTGACTTGAGGGAAAGACATTTAGGAGATCTTCAAGGTCTGGTATATCGTGAAGCGGTCACAACAAAACCGGAAGCTTGGGGGGCTTTGAGATCTCACAGTTCAGATCAAACAATTCCGGTAAGCAATATTGTTTTATGCATATATCGATCATCCTTGGGTATCTTGAAATCATTGGAGCACTGAATCATCCATTAAATAAAATATCTTTAGAGATCGAAGAACCTTGTGGAAAGTCTACTGGGAATAGCACGTGAATGGCCTAGTACAACTGGTTTTGTTTATTTGTCCCCAAATTTATTCCATATGCATACAATCTGCTTTGAAAGAGTATTTAGTTGTGACCTGCATTCTTTTATTTCAAGCTAGGGATAAAGAAATGTAGGGGCGGGAAATCAAACCTCCAGGGCTCCAACCTTAGAGAAAGTAATAGGTGCCTTATCCAATGAACTATATGCTCAGATTGACTTTCTAACCCAAACTTTTGGCCAATTACGCCTATGTTGTGAGCTAAATTCTTTTTACTCTGCAAAAACTGGCCTTATCGAGTTCGTCCCAAACCAAAATTAATTTGGAGCCAAGATGTTTGTGAGACCTCGGCTCTGGCACCAACTGACATATGAAGGCAAAAATTTTGCTGGCAAATAGATTTATGATTTCAATAAAAGATGGATGTTTAAGTTTGACAATTATTATTGATTACTTGACCCTTTCTGTGCAGTCAAGTAGACATGTTAGTGCTAGCACACTTTGATCAGTAGTGAGGAGTGCTTAGGCCGTATAGTAAATGTCTTCAGATATTTGCATGTACAAGATTCTCGCCCAACAGCCCACTTGAACAATTTGCCATTCTCCCATTGATTCCTATGAATATAGGAAACTTTTATTTCTCATTCACAAATCCATCTTTGTTTATGCTGCTAACTCTCAGTTTGTTTTGGCACATAGGACAATTACTGGAATTATTTATTTTACTATTGCCCCAATGCAGGGTGGTGGAGAAAGTTTGGACCAACTTTATCAGCGTTGCACATCTTCTTTGCAAAAGATTGGAAATAAGCATAGAGGTAATTACTCTTGTGGCTGAAATCTGAATAAAAAGGGGAAGAAAAAAACGCTAATTACATGTTTAGTTCCTTAATTTGTCTAATTAGACACAAAATTGTATAATTGAAAAGCCAAGTCCTATTAGATGCAAAATTCACTTTTATGTCTAATAGAGTAAGTGAAATTTTAAAAATGTCAAATAAATTAGGCCTGTTGGATAACCATTTATGTTTTTTGTTTTTGGTCTTTCTGTTTTTTGTTTTTAGCTTTCTGTTTCTAAAAAACAAAAATCATCTATGTTTGATAACTGTTTTTGTTTTTTATTTTTGAAAAACTGAAAACCACACATATGTTTGATAATCATTTTTTGTTTTCTGTTTTTAAAAAGTTAGAAAATTGAGAATATATATTATACGTTAGAGATAGAAAAAAATATGTAAAACATTAGTGATGAGAATGGTGTGGGATAGGAGTCGGGATTCCTTCTTCCACCAAATTTTTAATTATCATCTCCAACCCATTCTCCGATTTTGAGAATCGAGATCCAGGTTTAGGAATCCTCATTTGGGGATAAGAAAAAATATTGGTTTAATAATTAATTTTAATTATTTTTAGAATTTAAAAAATAAAAAACAATAAAGATATATAATTTATATTATTTATATTATTTTAATCAAAAATTATTATTTACTAGTATAAATAATTAAATTAAAATTTATTCATAATTTAGTAAAACAATTAATAAAATATATATTAATTATTTAAAAATAGAATGGGAGACGGGACATGATGGGAAATTTATTTTCTGTTCTTAAAGCGAGGACTCAACCCATGAGAATTTTGCGGTCTCTAATGAGAGACATGAAAATAGAAGTTCAGAGAAAAAAAAGTTAAAAAAAAAACTTTTGAATGAGAAATTTTAGAGAGTTAGAGAAAAGTTAGAAAACATATTAGTGAGAGAAAAGTTAAAGTCAAAAATAGAAAATTCTAGAGAGAGTAAAGTTGAGAGTAAAAGACATGTTAAATAAAAAAAAATTAGAAAGAGAAAAGAAAAATTACGAAAAAAGTTGAAGATATATTTCTTAGAGAAAAAATAGACTAGCCAGAGAAAGAAAATGTATAAAATGTGAAATTTGATAATGATAAATGATCCGAAGAATATGAAATTTGGAGAGAGAGAAAAAAAAGTGATAGGTTAAAACAAGAAGAACGAAATATAAATACATCCAAATGAAAATTTTGGAGAAAAAGAAATATAAATACATACAAATGAAAATTTTGGAAAAAATATAAATACATACAAGGGAGAGAAATTTTAGAGAGAGAAATTTAAGTCGAAAAATATCTTAGAGTGATAAACAAATTATGAGAGACAAACATTTCAAAGAAAACGAAGTTGAGCCTGAGATGGAAAAAAAAAGATTATGAAAAACAAAAACTTGTTTTAAAAAACTACTTTTTTATTTTTTAAATTAAAAAATGATTTTAGAAAGCAGAAAACATAAAATTGAATTGAATATCAAACCAGCTTGTTTTTTCAAAAACTGGAAAACATTAAAAAAAAAATGGTTATCAGACAAATCTTGTGATCTTTTTTTTTTAAGTATAGATTTGTGAAGGTTTTCGATCTATTAGACATAAAATTGAAAGTTTAAGAACTCATTAGACACTTTTTAAATGGTAAGAATTCATTTGACACTCCTAAGAATTAATGGTATAATTTTATCAAGATAAAAACAAGCTCATTCAAGTAATTTTCTCCTTAACTTGGAGAGGTTAAGTGGCCTATTTTCATTTCATCTTGAAAAAACCATCTTTTTCTCAGCAATGTCTTCCGAATTTGAGGCTTAGTATTTTTACTAACAATTTCTTGTTTTAAGCATAGGAGAACAAGTAGTTGTGGTCACTCACGGTGGTACGATTCGATCACTGTGTAAGCGAGCTCAGCATCATGGCGATAGAGGAGGCAAGATACTGAATACATCTGTGAATATATTTCACTTGTCTGATGGGGAGAAATGGAAGATTAAATCATGGGGTGATATTAGCCATCTTCACCAGACAGAATATTTGCAGTCTGGATTTGGAGGAGATAAAAATTCGGGGTAGGTAGACCGTTCCACGACACCTTTTGGCATCAGTCGATTCGAGCAATAATGCAGATGATCAGGTAAGTGAGTCCAATTTGTTTAGGAAGATTCATGCTTTAATCCTAAACAGTGGATGATAGACCTGCCATTATCATACTTTAGTGAATAAATTAAAATTAATAATGTTGGGAAGAAATTTAAACCTGTAACCTAAACCTATTTTTAGCATATCTGGAGGATGTGATTCCAACCTATAATCTGGGAAAGGTCAAATTTGACCAAATAATGTTCAATATGACCTAGAATGGTGCATATTGGTACTATAGACAAGATTATGAACATGCTGTACCTATTTTGGAGAAATTGTGTTTGTCTGTAGTTTCTATTTTTTGTGAGCTCGTCAATAGTACGTGGGATGAAAATTCGAGTCTTGAATTTTTTATCGATGATACTTAATTAGTTGGTTCAAGTGGCAGTCCGGTTGGCAAGGATTTTCTCTTGATCATACTGGCTTAGAAGTCTCAAGTTTAAACTAGAGCTTAATACTAAAAATCATAAAAATCCTTGATGTCTCCTGGGTTTGAGCCTCGGGGCAGTTGCGTGTGCCCTTGAGAATAGAGGAGCAAAACTCCCACTCCCAATTAAAAAAAATGCCTTAATTAGTTGATACTCAAGTTAGCCATTATTTTCTACTTCTGGCATATTTAAATTCATATTTAACATTTGATATCTGTAGATTTTTTTTCCTTAGGAACATAAATGTTTGAATAGCACAACTCTCTCCTTTGTCGTGGTTGTCCTTTATATATACTATATATATGTATATATATATATATATATATATATATAATTTTTTTATGCAGTAAAAGAAAATTTAAATAATTTTCTTTAACAAATTTGAATTTCTTTTATCCATTTATTTTGAAGGGGAAAAAAATTCAAGTTTGAAGAAGAAACTATAAATTATTGACCAGTTAAATAATTATTTGTGTTACTATTTATATTCTCAGGTGGAGTTAAACTAATGAAAAGAGATATAGTTCGAAATTTAAATTTACATTAGAAAAAGGTCTAAATTATTAATTTTAAATATGATAAAATCTTTATGTACATTTCAAAAAATATCTATGCAAGACATGGGAAAAACATTATTACAGTAGAGGGTTACCAAACTAAAACTTGTTTTCATTGTTCTCCTAAAAAAAATTATTAGACAGAAAGTGATAACAGTGAAACAAGAAACTAGAGTGATACACAGCAAATTTTAAATTATTTATGCCAAATTAAATCAACATTAAGGAGCCGATCTACCTAAATAAAACTTGTGGCCTCTACAAAACCTCGTAAAATTGGCTCAATTGTTGATGACAAGACCTTAGAAAGAAAGCTTGACCAAAATTCTCACAAATCTTGCCAGTATTGGTATCACCTATGAAATAGTCCTTTGACAAGTTAGCTTCTTAACTTACCAAAGTGGTTGTAAATGTTGGGGGCAAAAATATGACCTATACCATGTGGCGAGATATGACCGATCTACTAAGGTCACCTACTGCCGAGCTCCTAAGTTCACCCATGGCCGAGCTATTAAGCTCATCCACCACCGAACTCCTAAGCTCATCCATAACCAAGCTACTATGCTCATCCATATGAAAGGATGAATAGCCGACATTAGTCGTTGCCATCTATGGCTCGACATCCAACCGCCTTGTCGTAACGGCCATAACAGATGTGGCACTCCGCCTATAAGAGGACCTTCATTCATCTGACTCAGGTATGCAATTCTGCAAGAACGACCTACTTGAGCTTGTGCCTATACTCACTTGAGTATTGAAGTGTTTGGTTTTTTTTTTCCAAGTCCTACCTTACATGAGCTCCCACCTTATTAGCTCGGTCAATTGCCACGTGGCCGACCTTGGTAGCTTAGCAGAATCCAGAGTTATCAAATGAGTCCTTAATGATACGTTTTTTAATTTAATTATTTTTAAATTTTTAAATATCTAAATTAGTAGTTAATTTTTCTATAAAAAATAGAAGTTTATCTCTTGTATAAGTATACTTCAAATCATAATAAACTTTGTTAGATTAGAGTTATTAGATAATTCTCTTTACAGGTGTTAGACCAAAATCAACTAATGTCTAAGTAGTAAAGGCCAAAAATATATTTAAATTAATCTTTAATAAGAAACTTGTCGTATCAAACATCTCAGCTTTGTTGTTAAATGACGACCAACCTAAGTCTAGTTCAACTGGTTAATACATGTATCGTCAATTAAAAGATCAGCTTAAAATATAAATGATATATATATTGTATATAAAATGTGTTAGATGGAAAACTCTCTCCCTATTTTTTTCCCCTTTTTAAAATTTCTTTGCAATTGTTTTTCCTTTGTGATTTATTATTTTGATTTTATTAAATTAAAAAATATATATCAAAACTGAAGATAAATTTTATATTTTCATTTTCTATTTTAATTTCTAAATTTTCCCTAATGTACTATGATTCTCGTTCTGGTACTTAATCTCATAAAATTTTCAATTTTATCCTTAATATATTAAAAGTTTTCAAGTAGGTGATTTCATAAAAATAGAATTGTAAATAAAAAACTGATGTTATTAAATTATTGCTTTGTTAATATATTTAAATATGTGAACATAACACTTGGATGCTACTCGACACATAAATCCGACCTACTCATCATTAAAATCTGACTCACCCATTAAAAATGTTCATTCTATCTAAGTGGTATGTTTAAATGGCATGTCCATGTGTCTAAATAAGTTAATAACACAATAATTTAATAACGTCCATAGCTTAACTGATTAAGGCATCTATCTCTAATCAAAAGATTGTGAGTTTGAATCTCCAGGTCGTAAAAAAAAAACCTTAAATATGGCTAGGAATAAAATATACTTTTTTCCCTCTTTTCTTTCATTTAATATTCAATTTTAATTTAAGTTATTATATTTTAATGGGCATAATAAACGAAATTAATTTTTACTGAAAACTTATAATGACGTTAATTATATGAAATTTACTATCTAATAATACCATTTCATTTGACCTATAAGCCTATTTTATTTTTTATTTATTCTACTTATAATACTTTAATTTATTTTATTATTAAACAATTAATAATCTATTATAAACATTATTAAAAATTTTAGATTTAAATTGCTTAGTGTTCCGTTCCATGTGTCACATTGACCATTGTCACATATGTTTAATCTCCAAATGCTATGCCTTATTTTCTATCACTCCATATGTCTAATTGCTGCCTATTCTTAGTGTTCAATTATTATAGGTTATATGGCAATGAAATTGAAGAAAAATTCTATCAAATTTTATATTATATCTCTTTTTATTTTCCCGTTATTTTTATTATCCTAGTGTCTCATTTTGCTCCTCAATTTCCCAACATAATCTACTTTATTTCTAAAAATAATTATTAATATATTTAGTTTTAATTTTTTATATTTTATTGGATACTTTTTAAATTTTACTATTATGAGTTAAATTAACGGTACTAGATTCACCTGAAGTGAGGTCAAGGAAGCAACATGAGTCGAGCTACTCGAATAAGACCATCCAACGAACCCTGGTTAAGTTGGTCTGCTCAAACCAACCTGAGGAGACTCTCCCTCTATAAATAAGAGGGGAGGCAGTATGAGCATGAAGTATGTTCGACGCAACCCTAGTTTTTGTGACTCTCAACTAAATCATTACTTAGACATTAAAGTGTATTCGGCGTAGCATCCACGATGATGCGCACATTTTCACATGATCCACATCTTGCATCAACGCTTATCATTCATCAAATATTAATCTAAAACAATAAAGTCAATAATGGTGACTATTTCTTTTAGGTTTACATATTAAAATAAAATTTAAACATTAAAAAAAAAAAAGCATTCCAAAATTTAAAATGAAAAATCATAAAATAAAATTACTAGTGTTCAAAAAATGATGTGTCCGTCAATATACATGACAGTGAGAAAAGCCAATTGCAGCATAGGCAGTGATGCAGGTCACGAATTATGGTACATCAGGGCCACAGGGGATCATTGGAAAAAAAGAAACTATTAATTATTTATATATTTTTAATATAATTTAGATTTTTAGTGGGGAGCTGAATTATGAAACTGAAAATTCTGCTTAAAGYTTATTTTGACCTTAAAAAAAAGCTTCTATTATTACTGTTACTATCATTATCATTCTCACCACTAACTCAATTTTCTATTAAGTTTGAAACATATATATATATAAATAAATTAGAAGGTGAATATTAAAATAAAATAGATTCCCAGCGTAAGCATGACGTATATTATTAATTTTCTAAAAGAAATAGACATATATTTGCTTTTACGTATTAATTAATAATAAATAAATGTCTTTTTCCATCTATTTTTGTCCAACAACATGGGATCCCCAATCTTCAAATTCAATCAATAAAAGAAGAATATAAAATTAATATGTTTAGTCATATAACCATAGTCCAATCAACTAATTAATAATGGTCACGTCACTTTTTTTATTAATAAACTAACATTTAAGTCAATTTATGTCTAAATTATTTTTCGATTAAATCACACACCTAACTTAAATCTCAGGGTTCAACTCTAAAATTTACTCTTTGTAATTTTATGTGTGCATATCTATTTCATCAAATCAAACTATAAAATATTTTCAACTCAATTAATAAAATGTATTTTGACATCATGTCATCATTTAAAAATGAATTTTAGCCATTTGTAAAGATAAAAGAATTTTGAAATAAAAAGAAAAAATAGTCAATAAGCAAATAGTAAACTGAAACTTCTAATAGATTTGACAACATTGAAAAATGACTCAAACATTACAGAAAAAATAAAATATTTAGCTT